TTCTTTTTTTTTTTTTCTCTTTCTTTTTTTTTCTTTTAACCATAGGTTTGTGTGATCCAGACATCAGATTATGAAGAAAATCTTGGCATATAATGAGAGCTGAGCACCTTCCTGCCCCAGTAAGAGCTCAGTGCTTACCTCTGCTGTTAGGAAATCACACAAAATCAGTCTGGACAGGAGGTTGCCAGGCCACCTGCACTGTCCCTCTGCCTACACCATCTCCACACTATCTGTACCTATCTGTGTTTCAGACAGTCTAATACAGCACCCCAGTTATTCATCTTACCGCAGTGCTCTCTTTTCTGAAGCACTGTGTCACGCTAAGCAATAATAATGTTCGTGCCATTTGATTTTACTGGATAGAGCAACCATCCTGAGAGGAACATAGCGAGTGTATGGGAACTACTGAATCACATCTGAACCTCTGATCACCTGAGGCAAGCACTGAGTCAGCCATGGGAGCGCAGGTGAAGGCAATTCACCTGTGCTGCCGGAAGGGGTGGAGCCTGGCTGCACCTCTCCTAGACCCATTTAAGGGCTGACTGCCAGTGGGGAAGGATCTCTTCAGGAGATCCCTCTTCTGGAGTTTTGTAGTGAGCCCAGGATGTGGGTAAGCATTCTATCCATTCTCTTTTTGTTGTTATAATCTGCTTTGCAAAACTCTCTTGTTTATTTCATTATTATAGCATCTTAATATTCATTGATTATACAGTGATCTGTTCTGGAAACTGAGAAATACTTTTTTACTCTTAATGACATACTGAGCACTCACAGGGTGCTTCAACACGAGTTTGTAAATTGCCTGGGAGTACCTGCAAAATACTGCACTGCACAGAAGGACTTGCAGCTTGTGATAATGATACTTTGGAATAAAACCCTTGGAGGTGCTGTAATTAGCACAGGCACCAAAACCAGGAGTTGTTCAGAGGGCCATAACTCTGGCACTTTCCTGAGTCTTAGGGCTGCCTGGGGTGTGAATTTCACTGGGTAGTTGCATGTAGAGCTGATTGTGTGCTTTCTCCTGAGGTGATGCATTCCTTTAACTGGAGGTCTGACATTCTCTCATTGCTGCCTGATGACATTTCCTTTTTAGGACACATGCTTTTCTTGTGCCAAGTCCCCCTGAAAAGGGTGTTCCTGCAGCAAGCACAACAGCAAAGGCCCAGCTGCCTTAGGAAAGCATAATTCTGCTTGCTGTTACCATTAGCTGAAGTCTCCCACGTCCTCCGTGTAGCTAAGACTAAATGTCCAAGCAACATGGCCACGAGCTGTGATGCTTACGCTGCACAGACTCACTGACCTGGGATCACACTGCTTCAATGCAAATGAGTTTGAGGTTATAAACGCTTCTATTTCTGAGCAGTAATTGAATAACTATGCATATGTAGCTTCAAGAGGACACATTTGACTTTTAAAATTCAAAGCACTGGAAATGCAGAGTCTTCCATGCTGTTAGCATTTACGATTTGCATCTTTGAAAAATGGCTCCAATTTGGTATGTTAAGGCTGGCAAAGGATGGAGGAGGATTTGGGAAAGAGGATGAAATTCACCTGCTTGTTACGGGTAGTGTCAACCCAAGACAGAGTTATGTTGCTAAGTTATAAATACATCAGCATTTAGCAGTGGAAATGCTTTCAGACTCGTATACAGAAAATTGTCCTGCCTTTGTTGCTCTTTTATTTCAGCTAAAACACATTTGTTAAGCAAATCAAATTAGAAAAAAAAAAAAAAAAAAAAAAAAAAAAAAAAAAAAAAAACAGCAGGGCACACTTTAGGCATCCCATTTCCTTCGTGCTGATTCTGAACCTAATAAATAACAAGCATCATCTTTCTGAGAGACTCAGTTGTTCAAACAGAGAAACTGCACAAACCTTTCTTCCAGAACAAATGTTCATTCAACTGAGTTTTCACGTGTTGGGTGCAGTGTCAGAAAGAAAACAGACACAGCAGTGTTGCCCAGTGTAAAGCTGTTTTCCTCTGAAAATATACCTCAAATCCACTGGTCCAAGCACTGCTCCCTTCCAAATTTCTGCCACATTAATACTTATTCATTTCTGCTGTTCTGGTGAAGGTATTAGTGACAGGACTCCATACTGCCAAGACACTGTAATTATTCAGGCCATACCAGAGCTCCCAGTATCACTGTCATTAGTGTATGGTGCTTTTCGTAAAACAAGAAGTGAAATTCGCCTTACATGTGCAATGATGACATCTCAGGCTATTTCTGAGATGAAGAAAGATAGCATTTTCAGTGGGGAAAAAAGTTTGGATTTGAAATTAATCCCAGGGTGATTCCAACAAGAAACTCAGTGCGTGTGGAACACTGACTCTTCAGTGGCAGCAAGCAGCTGTCACTCCACTGAAACAAGCACTGCTACAAAGACCCACATAACCATGCAGTGTGTCCACCCCCTGAGACTAAAAAGTAAATCTTAAAACCTCAGATCCTAAATTTAGCATTTCAGAGCATTCTACTGAATAGAGCAAGAAAAAATGACTAGTAAATGAGGAAAAAAAAAAACCAAAAACAAAAACAACCCAACCAGTATAACAGGAAAGCATTTCAATTTTGTACATACACAGCTTTTACTTTTGTGTACATGATCATTATTAAACTCTCTGCATTATGTACATTTCTTTCACAATCAGCTCATCTGTGCATTCAGACGCTAACGTTGCCTTCTGGAGCTCTCCTGGGAAACATGGTGTGCCTCAAACCATTCAGAAACACAGCATCTACAGCAGAGCCACTTTGTGATTACATTTTTCTCTTTCTACTGTTCACTGGTAGAAACAGCAGTATGTGGAATACTGATTAAAAAAATAATTGCCTTTATGTTCTTTAAGTCTGAAGAATAAGCGTAGCTTGAATGAATACACAGGGCTCTATTTTCTTACAGCTGTTCCATGAGATCAACCATGTGATGAACTGCACATACTGCTTGTTCCCAAGATCTTGTTTTGTGGCTGCAGCACAAAAGCTCTGGTTTCCCTCCTGTGTGTGGGGACATGGTTCCAGTTCATAGGCTCTGTGCAGCTTAAGTAGGTGGACACATTCAGCAGGTCTCCACTTAAAATTTGCGGATGAATACTGAAAGGTCTAGATGTGCCAGTAAGGGAAAGTCTGAGCCTTTAAAACTACAAATGAATTTACTTTGAGCTCAGCCACTTCATTGCAACTTTTCTCCCTTTACTATGTCTGACAAGATGGAATTAAGGCTATACTAACCTATTTTAATATTTGATATTTTAAGTACCCTAGGCAATGCTAAGCAGAAAGAACATTATGGATTGAATCACAGCAAGAATGTGAAGGAAAAAAAATCTTACATCAATGAAGGAAATCCTACATGAATACAACTGTAGTTTAAGAGATGGCACGCTGTCTTGTTCTGTTCACCTGCCACATAGGGCAGCACTTTTGCAGCACCTACCTCAGAGTTGGCATTCAGACACTTGAAATGCACAAGTGCCTCCTGCATGACTGCATACATCTTCCAGAGTGGGCTGGGCTGGAAGCATCAGACATAAATGATTAGCAGAGAAAACAAAGGAGTACCAATAACTTCCCAACTTCCTTCAAACTAAAGATTGTGATGAGTACCATGTTTGCCTTTGGAATAAATATCTCATGCACATCTAAACAAAAGGCAAAGGAGTGGGAGATCTTCAGGAGAGTTTGCCAAAGATGCAAAAAGGAATGGTATTGTATTCATTAAACACTGTATGGATAAATTGCTGGAGGAGTCACAGCCTTGCTAAACTTCCTTGGCGCTGTCCTTGCTGCTTGCAGATTCTTTTTGTTAAGCTTTCTGAAGGAAATTCACCTACTGTCTTCCTTTTGTGATTTGCAAAATTTTTTGGAGACAGTACAATAACTTCTAACTCCAAATCAACACTCCCTCACCTGATTTCTGCCTCAGTGATCACACAGACTCTAACAATGCTTTGAATGTGTGATAAAAGGTGCTCATTACTTCCCAAACTGCACATTCACCTTGTTTTCCTGGTGACAGACTCACACATGAAATTGTCACTTTCAATGGTAAAGGAGTCAGAACAGCAAACAGATTGTAAAAACAGTTCTGTGCGCTATGACATTAGTTCCTTATTTCTTACAAGGGATACTTTACTGCTATGATCATAAATTTGTTAGAGGCAACCACTCATTTAGCATTCATCTCTGAGTGGCTACTAAAGAAAATTTTGAAACAAATTTCCCAGTTTATTCAGAATGAAAGAATCATGCCTTAATGATGAGTTCTGGGTTGAGTAATTGGGTGACAATTTTTCCTATAGACGCTTTTGAACTACCTGTATTGCTGAAAAGAAATTATTTTCAGATTCCTTCAGGACTTGTGAGAGATCTGGCTGTTTTTTTGAGGGTGTCTGAGATCTCAATATACAACTACAGTTTTACCATCATTTGTTTTATGCACCTGCTAATGGGATGATGATACGTTGGGGTATTTGTTGGAGATCATGAAGATGTGAGGACTTTGGAAAGAGTTTTTCTGTTCCTCTGCTTGATTTGTCTCGCAGTGTGCAAAATCTCTTCAGAAGTCACCAGGTTCCTTAAATGGGGAAAAGTAAAGGACCGCAAGACAGTTACATCATGCAAAAGTTGATAGTTCAAAATCTGCTGTTAAAGAAAAGTACTGACAGCAAAAGGTGTGGAATGTTTCTAGTTGCCAGGTACCAGTTCCCTCTTTCCTATTTGCTGTGCACTCCTGGCGCTGCTGCTGCTGGATCATCACTTGATGTGGGAGGTGTAGGAAGGACATGGCCTGGCAGGCACATCCATGCTCAGAAGCATAAACTGCTATTGCTACCTCTGTGCCAGATTCCCTGCACTGCTGCTGTCAGAGGCTGATGTGGTTTGAATGCCATGTGTCCAATCACCCAGTCTTGCTCTCTTCCACTTGGATTCCCCACTCTTTTACTCTCTTTGTTCACAAGCAGGACATGAAATGGTGTGTCTGCAGTGGCTGATGCCCAGCTAGGCTGATGTCTCCCCAGACTTCAATGCAACAAGTTCAGAGTCGTCTACATATCTTCCATTGAGCTGCTCGTTGTTGGAGTCATGATGGTACAGGTAGACAGGGACCTCTGTGATGGACGTTGCTGTATAGGAGGTTGATCTGGTGGAGCAGTGCTCTCGACGCCTTTGGCCCCACTGAGTTTTGTACTGTGTCCACTGCCTCTTCAAAGCCCCTTGTACCTGTTAAGGTAGGTTAAGTTAGGGTAATGCATGATCAGAACTAGTGAAATTTTAGCACTTTTAAAACTTGCTGCAGAAAATAGGAAAAAAAAAAAAATGAAAGACAACAATAAGGAAATAGGCAGACCGAGCCTCATGGAATTTGACTGGAGCTCTCTTCTGCCCTCTCTTCCCAGCTGCAGAAGCACTCGCTCATGCCCTGTCCTGAGATTCCTTCCTGCCTACCCTACAGCAGCAATTGTTTTTTCAGTGGTCACTGCTTGTGAAGAGAGGGAGGGGGTGGTTTTCCCATAGGAGGTCAGTGTGAAGAAGAGTGCTGCATGGGAACACAGCAGTGCAGCGCAGTGGGAGAAGAGGGAAGAGAAGGTAGGGATGAAGATCAAAAGACATCTCATGCTGCACCTGAATCCTTGCACCTGGAATGGCAAATGCACTATGATTTTGAAGAAACTTAGTCTTGAATAAAACTGGCAAAGTATACTTCAAGAGCTTGCCAAGGCTCATCTTATAGACAGAGCCAGTTCATTAATGCAGATAAACAGAGATATTTTTCTGGTAGTTCAAGAGGAGGTTCTGCACTGGCAAAAAAGCTAGCATTGGTCACAGACCTCTGTGTAGCAGAGAATTTCAGCTTTTGGACATTCATCCTCTAGGAGCAAAACATTATATTCTACATTTATATTAAGGGTGATGTTCTACCCTGTGCCAGGATGTGACTGAAGCTGCTGAGGCCTGCCAGGGAATAAGAAGCCCATCTCCAGCTGCATGTTTGGGAGTGCTGGCGCCCTCCAGTTCCTTCCCAAAGGCTGTGCTGAGATGCAAGCAGGCATTGGGCAAAGCTGGGCTCCATCCATTCAGTTCAGCTGTCCTATTCCCCCAGTGTGAGGGCAGGAACTGAGTGCCACCACAGTGTGCTGTGACTCAGTCCTCCAGCAGCGGGAGAGATGTGCAGATCCCAGGGCTCAAATGCTGGTGCTGCAGCAGAGCTGTGTGTGATTCTTGCTCAGTGAGTTGCTCTGGGGCCACTCTCCAGGCTCTGTGCAGAGCAGTACCTTCCACTGATGTAAATGGGTCTCAATGTCTTTAGTATTTCCTGTGACTCCACAATCCTAATCACTCCATTGATATGTATATAGTAAAATTCGATTGACTCCCCACCCATTGCAAGAAAGCTGTTCCCTGTCACATAAGGACAAGACTTCATAAGGAATTGCTGTGAACCTGAGATGCTCACTGGCTGTGCAGCAGGACTACACAATGTGCCAAAAATGGATTTTTCAATTGCTTTGGATTTTTATTTTTAAGCCAAGGAGCGAGCCACGGGATGAAGACTGATGCTATAAATCCTTACTCATGCAAGTAGTTGCACTGACCCGGGTATGACTCCTTGCTTGAGTAAACAAACATTTGCTGGACTGGTCCATTAAAAATAACTGAAAGCTATGTATCTCCATGCTCAGTTTCCAATACTACCTCTATTTTGCTATCACATAGCTCAAGGCAAAGTGGTTAAGAGTTCTTATCCTCTAGAGAAATAAATTTCTGTTTACCTTCTAACACACAAATAAAAGAAAACTAACGGTCAATGTAGATTAATTAGCTATCAAGCACAGAAAAGATATATGGTCACAATGGGACTGCAATTACCAGGGCTGTGGGCAGAGCATACCAAGATTTGAAGTGAAATGGCTGCATGCATGGATGTGTGGTATCATATCACCACCAAAGTTTATAAGTGAAAAAAACCTAACTGCATGGAAGAGTACTGCAGCTGTATCACATAATAAGGAAGTGCACAAAGTGAAACCTGTACAGGTTTTAGTCTCTTTAATACTGCCTTTTTAACATTACAGTGCTCCAGATGAATGCTCTAGTCTGGTTACCCTAGAAGCTACATGAAGCACAACAGTTAACCATGGTTATGTGAAGCAGGAAGAGCAAAGTCTGCCAGGAGACCCTTACAGTTTTGTTCTCAGAAGGCAACGGTGCTGCGGTATGTATGGACTGGGAGGGAGCAGACACATCCCTTCAATAGGAGTGACACTGGTGAAGGCTTACAGGCCCCGTGGAGCAGTGAGAGCACCAGGTAGGAGCAGCTGCTTTCGTTCCAAGTGCTGGCACCTACAAGAGTCTGGCCACCCTTGGCTGGTGGGCTACATGAGGTGCTGCACTTGGGTAAAGCAATGAGTAGACCTAGATTTCTGCCCTGATTCCAAGGATCTCAGGTGATCGCTGCTCAGTGCCAACTAAAACTGTTCAGGCACAGATTTCAATGTGCAAGCAGCCTTACTGAAAATCACACGCCCAGCCATACTGTGCTAACAACCACAGAGGCTCCTGCCATGTTTTCCTCTGTGACTGCAGATGGAGGAAAGAGAAACCCAGAGAAATGAGGAGCCTGAATTGGCTTTCTCTGCTTTTGAAGACTTTAAAGGTTTTCCTGTTCTCCATTATCCATTCATGCCTCTTTGGCACATGACGTATGTGGCTGTTATTTGGTGGTGTTTTTTTTCCAAAGAGACTTTCCATTGTGTTGGCCAGTCTTGCAGTCCAGAGGTAATCTCAGGCCTGGAAATGTGGTCTGGTGAGCAGACTACTGAAGAGTCTTCGTATCATCTGCACAACACTGTTGTTACTGGACAGAGAAACTACAGAGCTGCTGAACACTAAGATTTTGCACGAAAATACATGAGAAGATTAATCATTTAAAAAGTCCTGGAAAAGTCCATTGTTTATGTGTTCTTCCACATGAACGAGGGCACTGATGACATTTTAGCAATTTTCCATTTCTTTCTATAGATAGGCTTATGGCAATAAAGAGAGGCTGTGAGGTAGCATGCAAACAAATTCAACATAAAATACTGTCAGGTGGTACCGAGTTTAGCACTGTTTGTCCTGGCTAAGCTTCATGCATTTTAGCCTTGAAGTTAAATATTCCAGTAGAAAAAAATAAATTCCTGAGTATCTAGTTTTCTTACTAAAATTAATCTGCCTGCCCTGTGCTGAATTTTCTCATGACAAACCACTTTGAATTCTACTCTACGGCATCTATACTCTACGGATGTATACAGTGGCCTGGAAACAATCTCCTGCCATGACTGAAAACCAAATTGTGGCTTTGGTCTGTATCATACTGCACACAGTGAGACTGGAGGGGATTATCTTAGCTTAGTTCTCTTATGCAGCTGAACTCAGAGCTCTTCTCCCTTTGTCAGTGCATAATGCCATCTTGGTGTTAGCCTATTTAGGGCAATAGGTTTGATTTAGGTTAGGTTTAGGACCTAAGTAGCAACAGAGTAAGCTTATGTTTGAAATTAGGAAAAATTTCTTCTCAGAAAGAGTGGTGAGGTATTGGAACGCGCTGCCCAGGCAGGTGGTGAAGGTTTTCAAGAAGCGTGTAGGTGCGGCACTGAGGGACTTAGTGGGCATGGTGGTGATGGGCTGATGGACTAAATGATCTTAGTGGTCTTTTCCAACCTTCATCATTCTATGGTTCTATGATTCTGCTGCTACTCTGCATGTTCTGCATATTCCATTACGTTTTGTTGCTGTGTGACAGACGGCAGCAGAGGGGCATTCTTACTAAATGGTGCCTGACATGGATGTGTGCATGAAGCAAAGGTGTGGAACTGTATTCCTCCATGCAGAAAAAATGGCATCCACTGACACTTATTGCTGCTTACTGAATGTCTGTGGAGACCAAACAGTAGATGTGAGCACAGTGAGGTGGTGGGTGGTGCATTTCAGCGGTGGCAATGGGCTGCCAGCTGTGCTGAAAAGGCTTCTGGATGTGACTGACGGTCTGTATGCTTTCAGTGCTATTTATTGTTGCTTTTCTTCATTTTAGCACTGCTACAACCTTTAATCTAGGCACAAATGTTCTCATTAGATTTGGAGAACTACAGAGTAATTGGCCTTTTGCCCTAAAGCTATAAAATATAAAGCAAATATGTTTTGCAAAATCTAATCAGAAAAACTTGAAGGTGACCCTGGGGGGAAGGAAGGACGAAGAAAGCAATCCTGAAGGCAAGGATTTGTGTGTAATACATTGTCTGGAGGCAAGTGAGGACATACTGGCACACTGCCTGTACAAAGCTGTGCAATCAGTCCTATAGGGATATGCTGTTTCAAGAATTGCCTGGCTTGTCTCTTCATTTTTCATGCCATGTTCTCCCTACCAGAAGGAACCAGAAGTCCTGCTGCATGTGCAGAGCATGGGGACTGAACTGTGCCAGAAGGTGATAACAGTAGAGAAGAAATACGGTGGTAGCCTGCAGGTTCTGGGGGTGGACATGACACGAGAAAAGAATAGCATGTCTGCCAACTTTGCTTAAATGGTCTAAACTCTGAAATGAGAGTGTGACTTTCTGTAATATGATCTTTATGACTGTTATTTCATTTTAATTTCTGGTGTCCTTACCTACTTATGTTCTGCCATTTCCTTCTTATGTCTCCCATAAGCTGTGGGAGGCCTCTTTTACTGTTGCATTTCAGTGTACCTTTACAGGGTGACTCAGCCAGAAGCAAGTGTACAGTGATGTCAACAAGAGATGGTAGAATTTAATACACTCTGCCATTCTGAAAGCCAGAAAACCGGCCAGTAGCACCTTATCAGTTGGAAAACTTGCTTCAAGTCACCATCAAAAATACAGCATGATCACATCATTACTACTTGAGAATAACATACAGGAATAAACAAAAGTAAGAATGTCCCTGTAGGATGACGTACGGAGTGTTAGCATTGCAAATTTTGTTCTGTATCTAATCTATCTGCTCTGAATTCAAAGCAAACTTTTTAAAGGGATTTCCAGCTTTTCTGAGATAATGCTGTGGTTTATTTCTCTACAGTTAAATGGTTCCAGTGTATCACAACAGTTTACCATCTTTGGGAAATGGCTTACTGGAGGAATTTAAATGGCTCTTGACATGTTACAAACAGCTATTTTTATAAAAACAACTTAGTGAAGTGGACCTAGATACACTGGTAAGTATAAACATTTGATCAAGCTATAAGAGAAGGGGAGACATCCTTAACTCCTTAACTCAAGCCTTAATTACAGCTTGATAATTACTGACCTTAAAAAGGCCAGCACTAACCTTCAAAGAAGGGAAAGTAGTTGCAGCCCTACAGGTTCCTCTGCTCTGACAATGCTACCATGTGTAGTAGCTCTGTCAACTGTTTGAGTCTTTTACTAGTGTTTTAATCCTTTACTTTGACCTCTAATTTGTGTGGTATCGTGGGTGAAATGGGGAGAGACACGTCTGTGCTGCACTTGGTGCTGCTGACTTTCCTGACTTAATGGGGTATTCACATAGAAATTTCAGAAATGCACAGAGCTGCTTGTATACAGATCTTGAAAAATATCTTTCTCTGCCTTTGAATTTTGTAATTCGAGATGCTTCATTTTTGTACCAATCAACGCCTAACTGTTTTTGAAGTTTCTTTTCTCTTGTTGTGTTGTAGATACATACCTCACCATTGAAGAAGCAGAATATAGTTGCCACAAGCAAGCCCTAAAAGGAAGAAAATGAAAAGCATTTGAGGATCAAAATATATACATAGATATTTGTTTGCATTGTTTGGAAAATGAGGCTTGAGGCATGCAAGATAAACTTTGATCCACTTCCTTTCCATCACAGACATTTCACCTAACATCTCCCTAATTCTCAGTTATATTTTTACACCAGTTTTTGTCTTTTCAATATATTTTCTAGATCATTTCTAGATTATCTGTTCTGCCTATAAGGTTATTTTTGTTTGAGAGGGCAGGAGAAGGATAACTAAGTGATATTGGCTTTATGAAGTGAAGGCAGAGGAACTGCCCCACGTGTTGCTGTGCATTTGTCAGAGTGAAGTTACCCTGTTAAGAACTGTCACACAAGGGAAGCCCGGCTGTGCCAGAAAGGCTTTCAATTGAAGTGTATGATGGAATAAGTGGACCTGTATGTGCGGCATCAGTATGGATGGGAAAGTGTGAAAACAGATGTTATAGGTCAGAAAAAGGGAAAATAAACCAACACAAAACACAGGTGAATTAGAAGGTAAGGAAGAGACTGAAGATCATAGCTTGGTCCTAAACCTCTTGAAATTAATTTCATTATTGCCACGTTTGTTCAGATATTTCCTTACCTCTACAGGATTAAACAGGGTCAAGCCAAGACCATGAGGTGAGGAAGTGTGAAACAGGTAAGAGAGAAAATTCTTGTGCATAGAGCCTGCTGTTCAAAACCACATAATTACACTGCTCTGTGTTCTAAAGAGCATTAACTCTTATTAAAATATCATTACATAACAATGCCGGGAGCCAAATGCCCTCATTTTAGATTACTTAAAGCTGTTATTAGAAACCAAATTTATGGCAGTTTGTGAAATTGAGGGAAAAACTGCACTGCAATACTCTGTGTTCCCAGGGGCTGCTCAGAGGTACTTTACAGCTGCATCTTCCTTATAAGCTCTCATTTTACTGATTACCAGTTAAATTATAACTGATGCTTTGTAAAACATCTTGGACCCTCAAATGCATGTTTTAGACTACAAAGATAAGGTAAAATGTTGTAGCAGAATGCTGTATCAGGGACACGCACAAGCTGATTTGAAGAGGTGCTATCACCTGAATTTTAGCAATGATTTTGCTGCAATAAAATTTCTTTAGTTGCAATATGTAGTTGCAAATAACTTCAAATGTGAAGACAGAGGAGGCGGAAGGCAATTGGAGTGAGCAAAATAAATCTTTTTATGTTTTGGGAAAACAGTACCCTCCGAAAACTCCAACTCCAGAACACAGTATGTAATGCATAATAGTTCTCCCCCATGCTCTGGTTTGGGAAACACCATGAAGTCAACCAAAAACTAATGCCTTAACAGCAGACCTTTGGCAGATCACAGATGCCTAAATCTGAAATTTATGCAAACGTTACACTTCCCTGTGGCCTATAATGATTATTCCCCTGCACTGTGCATGCTATGTCAATTTGTGCTGTCTTGAAAAACATCTGCTGTGGTACTGTGGTATATGGTCACATTAAGGGTTTTGCTGTTTTGCTGGAATGTGCTTATATTAACAGTAGTCAGCCACAATGGGAACTGAGATGGATTTAAATCTCCTCTGGGATTAGAGAAGTTCAGTGGGACACAGAAGATAAGACTCCAGGAGGAGAGAAAGAAGTCTGTTCTTCTCTAGGAGCATTTTAGGGGAAATCGGGAACTGCAGTTCACCTTAAGGCAGAAATTGAACTTGAACTATTGATGTCATTTTCCATTTTATTTCATAGAATGGTTGGATTGGAAGGGACCTTTAAGATCACCTAGTTCCAGCCCCCTGCTATAGGCAGGGACACCTCCCACTAGACCAGATTGCTTACAGTCCCATCCAGCCTGACCTTGAATGCTTCCAAATAAATATCCTGTACAGGATATTTAAATTCTTGTTCATTCAATTCAAATTCTTGTTAAATCCTACAGTTAGTATCTATTATCTATTTATGTTCCCTTCACTATTGCCTTCTCTAGACTTTCTGTTAGAAAAGCTAAAGAGGAAGCATTATATCTCCAGCTGCTCTTCTTGTCTGGAATAAGCTGAGAACAGATGTGACTGTTCACCTTTTTGAAATCATGGAAGTTGTACATCTCTGCTGACTGAAGAAATTATTTCCTTTGCCCCATCTATGTCTCATTGTTCTTCTTTCAACAGCAATAGCCCTCTGGGCTCTGCCGTCCAAAGCTGCTCCTGAATCTTCTTGAAAATAAGTCAGAAACCTCTGTAACAACCACACACAAATGTGGAGGTCCCCAGCAGACTTTTGGCACTGGGGAGTAAAGGCTCCTATGAACTCATCCAAATTAGGGACATTTACCTATCACCTTACTCATTTCTTGCCTATCTATCACATTTCTGCTGCTTCACTGGCTTTCTCTCTTTTCTGAGTTTCTTAAGTGGATCTGAATTGTCCTTGTACTTCTGAATCTATCACAGGAAGAAGGAAAGAAAGTTCAACAGAACAAAATTCTTTCTACAGATGATGAATAGGACAATGTTCACCCACAGTTTGGGAGTGAAGCTCACATTTCAACTGCAGTTTTTCCAAAATTTATACATACATATATATTTATATATATGTATTCACTTTTTTCCTTTTAGAAGTTAACCCACTATGTAAAAAAAACCATCAGAAAACACTACAAAGAACCCAGTAACCAACTGTGTTCACTAAGAGGCTCAAAAGATAAAAGTGGAAATACGCAGATGGAAGATCTCCATAATGACATGTTGCAAGTCTCATGAGCCCCCTTACAGCTGTAAGGAAACCAGGATGAACACACACATGGAGCTGGGTCTAACACTGAGCCAGGGGCCCTTGGGCTCATCTACAAGTAGGAATGAATGCTCATTTTTCATCTTTTTAAATGCTATATAAGCACTTCTTGCTCTTCCCTGTGCTGAAGAAATCTGAGGACATATGTTGAAAAGACAAGCGGACAGAATAAAATTTATTGTGCTTCCCTAGATAATTGCTTTCACTGACATTTGCATGAATTTGGGCAATTTATATTTGAAATTAAACCACTCTGTTTAGCAATAGCATCTGTGAGATGCCATCTGGAATAAAGGTGGAGGTTAATTTTCTGTTAGGGTCCCCACATCATACGCTCAAAGGTTTCCCATTTACCCACACAGTAAAAATCGCAACCCAAATAAATACTGAGAGGAATAGAAACAGACTGTTCGCCATGCAGGGGAGTAAGGTAACATTTCTTGAAGCTTGATGAGGTCTCCTGACAGATGGGAGTCTAACGAGTCTGAAGGAGAACAATAGATAACTGGTAAGACATCTGCCCACTTACAGATAGCAAACTATGAGATGTGTCATCCTTCTGTGCAAACACAGAAATGATGTTCATACACAACTGGTGAAAAATATTAGGATAAGATCAAGAGAAAACATGCAGCAAAGATCTGGAAGATTAAATGCACAAGTAAACTGCCTGTTGCTTTTAATTAGAGCAAATACTAAACTGGTTCTGTGCCTTTATTGAATTTTAAGCCATGTCTCATGGCAGTAAAATACTTATCCTCACTAAAATTGCCATCTCACCTGGTTTTGTGAAATACAAATATCAGAGCTATAACACGTACCTCTGGCACTAACAGAATTTTCATGCCTGCTCATCTCTATCAGGCCTTTTTATAACATCCAACATATTTTCAACCATGGTCCACTACATGAACAATTACTTGTAGTTCTATTACTTCTGTTTCTGCTTCTTCTGATTTTTATGTCATTTTTTTCATAGTTCAGTGTACTGTGAATCTCTTCATCTGTAAAGCTACAGAGAAACCAGTAGCAAATATAAACTTTGTGTCTATGGAGCTAGGAAGGTTTGGGATGCTGATAATTTTATGAGGGATACACATACTATTATAACATGCGAGAGGCTGGATGTATGTTATCATATCATGTAGGGCCCATGGGTTAATTCTGCTATTTCTTTGACATAAGCCTTTCATATTCTCTCTAACTGCTGCTGTTTTGTTTTTCTTTTTTTGGGTGCAATCCCTGCTGAGGATGAGCCCTCTAGATCAATTCTCTCTGTCTTCCACTGTGTGTAAAACTGACCTATAATACATTACCAGTTGACAGAGGGTAACAGTGACTATGGGATTGATAGCAGAGATGGGAACCATGTTTATTTGGACATTAAGGCCTTTATAGATTGCTTCCGAAATACATTATTTCTGGAATCATGTGAAACCCAAAAGCACATGGCTCTCTAATGAATCATGCCTAAGGGACTCTCTAGAGTCAGAAGCTCTCAGACCTTTGTGAACTTGACTGATCCCACAGTAATTTTTTCTGTGTTTAATACTCGTCCAAAGACATTTATGCTTGACAGGTATTTGACTTACATTTCACTCTCCTACAGGATGTAATTTGCTCAGGTTAAAAACAAACAAAACCCTATCCAGATGCTTCAAATTTATGTGGCTTTCTGATACTTCAATTGTATTTCTTCTAGCTTATGGCTCCCTAAAAACTATACAGCATATCTAGATGTGCTTATTTCTGTTATTCCTGAGCATCTCCTACAAAACCAGTCAGACTTACCACTCCAGTTTTTCTATGCATGTGGTATCATGCACACACAATTTTGAACTGGTAAGGATGATATAAGCAGGAAATCTCAGACAGCAGGATACACAGATTTTGGTAGCATTACTTATCACCTCATTAAAGGAACTTTTTTTTTTTTTTTTTTTTTTTTGGTAAAGGGTTATTTACTTACTACAACATTAAAATACCTTCTGTGTTTACCTTCACATAAAAGTAGAAGTGGGTCAGTGTGTTTGCCCGTGTTGCCCTCTACTCACAAATGCATCAGCAATTTGCCTTTGCTCAGCAATAAGGGACTGGGTATATTAAGAGAATAAACCAGACAACCATTTGAAGTCACATATTTTTTTGTTTAAAAAATAAAATAAAATCCTATTGAACAATGACATTTTCAAAGTACTTTCGAAATAAAGATGTCAGTGTTATAAGTGTTATACTTTAATTTCAACTATTTAATAATGGAATTTTGACTCCTAAATCAAGCTTCATTGTCACGATTTTTCTTTTGTGTATTGGAATTCACTCTGCACAGTACTTTGTATGCAGCTAATTTTATTATTAACCTCACAGCAGCAGTTTCAGCAAATTTCAGCACTTAGCAGAAATAGCACTTTCAACATAGAAGACCTTTGTGATCTTGGTTCTCTGCTTAGTTCAGAAGTAGTGCCACTTGATCTTTTCCCCTCATTTTTCTGTTTCTTTTATCTCATGTTTTTTCTTGATACATCAATGCTACTTGTGCTGAGGTAGATAATTCAGACATGTAAAGGCAATTGAAAAATATAAAACCACAATCATGCTCAATTTCAGTGCAAAACAACTGACAACAATATCTTTGGCTAAATAAGCTCAACAGCAAGCACGTTACTTAAGCTGAAGTTGCTACTATATAGCATACCTGGTAATGCATTAATATATGCATGATGTAATCATATATTTCTCCAGCAAGTCGGTTTTCTGGTCTCCAGGGTATAATAACAAACTGAATTCCTAGTAAGGGAACCAGGATTAACGTGGCTCTGACAGCTTTCATATACATGTTGGACTCAGCACGGTGGGTATCTCTTAGCTTTGTCACCAAAACTCGGACAATGTTAAGCAAAAAGAAAAAATTGACCTGTAAAGCAAAGCCATTATAGGTAAAAGCAACCAAATTAAACAGGCATTCAAACCAAAACCACAGAACACATAAATGGCTTTAAAATGCAGTTTCCTAGCTTTCCTAGCTGACTCCCCTTGGAGTCAGACCTTGGAGAGTACCTTGAACACCTTCAGAAAGCAGACATTAAGACTGCTATAGGTGCTTGCCTGAGGAACCTGAATGGATGTTTGAGATAGGCAGGGATCAGTTCTGAGTGTTTTGACACTGACGTGGTCAAACTGAGGATCTCCAAGGAACAAAACATCTCATAGTTTAAGCACAGCGGATGAATTATTCCCAGGGAAATGGCTGCTCTGAAGGTCACCAAGGTGTCATGCTTTGTGCTGCAGCCAGGTGAGAAACCCACAGGTGTCCCTGGGCGTACAGAGCCTACAGGGTACACACATTCTCTGAGGGACCTGCTCTGGCTCACGTGTGCTGTCACTTCAGGATTGTGTGAGCAAAGGGCCCTGAGAAAACCTAGGCTCAACTCTGCCTCCATGAGACTGTAGTGGTCCTATATACGCTGCCCATAGGTAACAAAACAAGCTGGAACAGGGCAGAAAGGCCGAAGAGTTGAAGGGCCAAAGCCCTTCCAAAAATCCACGTATCTGAGTTCCAGAGTCATTTCTAAAAACCTGACTCCAGCCATGGGTTCTCAGCACAGGGCCACATTGCCCTGCCTTCAGAGCTCCTGGCAGGATACGCCTGGAAGCACATGGGCAGATAATGAGCCCTGAGGACATCATAGGCATCACAGATTTCCTTTCTCCCCAGTATGTAACCAGGCTGCCTTTCCTACTCCTTTACAGTACCAGCAGGCACCTGTGCTTATGAACTTCAACAGACTTCTATAGCAACCATTTTTTAAAATAAGTATCCTCTTATTACATAACTAGAATAGGTATTTTAATAGTCCCAAATCCATGCATATGTGAGAAATCTCACTTGGATCTTTTAAAACAATAAACCAAGAATCAGTAAGCTTTCACAAAGCACTTTGTAACTTCTTAGCTACTGAGAGACCTTTCAGCTGTTTTACATTCATGCTCTACTGGAAAAAAAAGAAAAAAAAAAAAAAGGAATAATAAATGACTTCTGAGATCCCATTTAGCATTAAATCTAAATCTTATTCTCCATCCTCCTCTGACTTCACTCCCTCTACTTAACCTTCACTTTTAGAACTTTTTGAAGGTACTGTGGAAGGTGAAAAAAAGACTCAGCAAAGGTAAAAACCCTCAGCTCCTCCAAGTCTGCCTGAGTCATAGTCTACCACTATGAGATTTCTGTAGCAAATCATGAAGGACACTGTATAAACAGTGACAACTTCAAGAGAAAACTAAAACAGGAAACAGCATAAGAACGAGACAGAAAATATAACACCTTATTTTAAAAACAGTTACAAATTGCTCTGCTTCCATAAAACCAGCCTCTCCTCTTTTCTTTGCAGCTAAAATGTGCAGACCTGGGGCTTAGTGATTAAAATAAAGGCTGACTGGCCTCTCCTAGAAGCTGGCTTTATGACAGCAGCAGTCAAGATCAAGCCAATAAACCCGCAGCAGATGTGATCCTGCAGGCATGGCAGGCTGAACATGGCAGGGACAAACTGGCTTCTCTGTATTCCTGATAGGCAAAGCTATTTCTCAAGAAGGGGCAGAAAGACCTGGGTGGGTTTTTTTTTTGTTTGTTTTTTGTTTTTTTTTTTAAGTTAGTAGACAGAGGGTTGTTTCTTTATTCAGAGGTATTCTCAGCATTCCCCATCATACTCTTTGATCTGCTAGGCCATTTCTGCAGGTATATCCATGCAGAAGTCAGTATCAAACAGAACAAAAGCACATCTTGGACGGCACATTGAGATGTGTTTGGGACTTGGGCTGAATAAAACTCAGTTACATCGTTCAGTTGGCTTCAAAATCTGATTATATTTCAGGTGGTTCCTTGGATGATTTATGAAAAGTATTGAGAGCCTTTCTTTAAAAGAGAAAATCACAAATTGCTTTCAAATTTTCATCAGAAGACTTGAAGTACAGAAATTTATATTCTCTACACATTAACAGCATTTCTAAAATAATTATTGAATGGTTGATAGCAAATATTCTTACCAATAAAGCTGCCATTACAGGTCCATGAACAATATAAAGCAAGTGAGTGTCAACACTCATCCAGCAGCTGGAGGAGAAATATACCACATAATTTATTATTTACTCAAAATGTGTAACACAAATAGTGCTAAATTCCTTCAAAAAAAGACATGCTACTCACTTGTCATTGAAGTATTTGGCTCTTGCAGCCGCATGAATTGAAGCTGGCACTAAAGGAAACCCTGAAATGATTAAAGGAATAGGTCAGCCTTGGTGTTTTTGGCTTGAACATCATTGATCATAAAAAAAAAAAAAAAAAAAAAAAAGAAGTGAAGTCCCAGCTTTCTCCCAGCACCTTAAGGGAAGCCACTGCTCTGACAGGTAGCAGAATTGAGCAAATGTGTACTGAACCAGGGGAAACATGCCATTCTTAACATATCTCAGTTGAGTATATCCTGATTTCAAGTGGCAATCTGGCCCGCCCCCCCCCCCCGTCTATCTTCCTCCATTTTCTGTGTATGTAGTCTCCCTTTCCAACAGGCTAGAAACCTGTGAGCCTGTGCTTCAACACTGACCCCACCTTGTACAGCCTTGCACATACAGACAGCTGGGGATCATCTACTACTGTCTGTCCTTTGCAGAGAGCTGTGTACATCTTGGACACAAACACTTTTAGAAGAGGCATAGAATACTCAGACTAATTCTTGAGTGTTCTTGCCACAGAACACAGGTCAGCCAATGCTGGAGTGAGATTACGGTAAAAAAAAAAAAAAAAAAAAAAAAAAAAAAAAGTGTGTAAATAGGACACTCTGCACTCTCCAGGCATCTCTAAGCAACAGCTACTTGCTTTACTGCTAAAATAAGTTCTTATGGCAGTTTAACTTCAGAGAACAATGCAGCTGTGGGAGAATAAAATGATGGACTGTCTTCTCTTTCATACCGTTAGAAAATGATTTCTTTGCTTCTTGCTGCAGAATGGTTTTTTAGAAAAATAAAAATATCTGAACAGAAAGAAAAGAGCTACCGTTCTCAGGGTGACATTATGGGACTAGCAGCTCTAGAAAGTCCTTTTGTTTTGGAAACGGAGCAAGTTTGATCCAGTTTTGTTGACAGACTATGTAGATTAAAATGCATTTTTAAGGGACGGCTCTTTAACGGTAAAAAGCATTGCAAGTAGATTGCTCCACATTGATGCCTTGGGACCTTTTTCTTCTGTGAAATGCATTAACCTAAAATATTTGGCTCAACAAATTCTCATGCAAATCTGAAGAACACAACGGAAAGTTTTCATTAATAAGGTAAGAAACTCTTGACCATCTACGGCTCAGATTTCCAGCCGCAGTCTGGTCCATGCAGCTAGATGTTGCTCTTGCCTTGGAAAAGGCCAGTAGCAGTGAGAAGGGGAACACCAAGAAGGCCTATCGTGTCCTCATGACCTCACTGTTTCACTCCAGAGGTCCCATATATGTGTTACGAGAGCTGAGCAACTCCAGCCACCCCAACAGAAGGTATGCCATACCCCTGAAGGTCATGCCAGGTCCTCTTTGAAAAAAATCTGGCAATCATGCTTAATTGCATTTCCAGTTGGCTACAGCACTGCCCACATAAGTGATTCCCTTTTCAATTTTATGTGGATGAAGCAGCCTGAAGCAGCCTGATGGAACAGAACGCAGTTGGATGCACCCACCTGATGCTATTATCATGCCCTGCATAAAGGTGATTTTCTGACCCACTGAAACAATAGCACATGAAAAAGGACATTCTCAGCAGCAGGTGCCAAAGAAGGTGTCACCTGAGGGCATCCATCTTCAAATACATCCACCTGCGTCAGATTCCATTCAGTCATCTGCAAACATTTCATGGAAGTGTTTTTGTATTTGCTCAGATTTTTATTTTTTCAGACTAAGTTGTTTTACAAACATCAATAAAGATTTTTCCAAATAAAATAATCCAGATTGTTTTGAGTAGGGATTAGTTATAACAAGGAATAATCACAGAATCACACAGAATCACCCGGGTTGGAAGGGACCTCAAGGATCATGTAGTTCCAACCCCCCTGCCTAGCAGGGCCACCAAACATAACACATTCAGATCAGGTTGCCCAGGACCCCGTCCAACCTGGCCTTGAACACGTCCAAGGACGGGGCATCCACAACCTCTCTGGGCAGCCCATTCCAGGGCCTAACCACTCTCCTTGTAAAGAATAATGAGTATATTCATCTTGTGTTGTACATTTACCTTGATTTTTTGAATTGTAATTCAGAGCATGAACTGCTGTTGCTCTGCACTGTCCTTTGGGGAAACATCTCTCTCTTCATTGATTAACGCAGCTGGACACTTGAAGACAGACCGTGTGAGTACTGGTTTTGGAAGCAGTGGAATTATACTGATTTATGCAAACTTTAGGGGTAGCCAGGTTGTCCTAATCATTAGCAATAGGATCTAATGACTTCTACTTCAGTTAGAAGGTGCAAATGACTACTTAGTGTGGTAGTATCCATGTAGTTTCATTACTAAGGATGCAGACTTCACAGTCAGAGTTGTGTTGCTTTCTATTAACCTTTTCTCTCTCAGTATATCATCACACCATTCCCACAGATGTTCCTTATTTCTGGGACAATGCTGCAGATACTGATGAGCATCCTTTCAGTTATCTTCACTGAATTACCCATCAAGATACCTTCAACCATATTTCAATGCCCTCAACCATATCTCAGCTAGCTCATAAGCTTTCACACCAAGCCAGCTGTCCCAGTTGCACAAGATGCATTACCTAAAGTGAACAACACTTAGAAAAATATGTTAATGCCCACTTTTCTCCAGCATAATGTGATACAGAATGACAGTACTTCAGGAAGTCTTACGCTACACGAAGACAGCAAACGTTTGAACTGGAAGGAAGGGTATAAAATTACTCTTCATACAGGGCTTCCATTTTCAAAAGCAGAGGGCTACCAAACTTTGTACATTCAAATGTTCAAATATATTCTGAACTATGAAAACTGTGATAGCAGCTATTTGAAAGCAAATAACTGCCCCAAAACAAAACAACAACAAAACAACCAACAAAACAACTTTCTGCTTTGCTGTTATAATCCTTTAGCATCTGCTACCGGATGTCCAACTAGCAGTTGGATTCAGGGTTTTAAAGTTCTTCAGAGCATTCAGGTTCATTTTTCTCCCATGTAACCAATTCCCATTTTTTCCTCTGCTAAAACAGGAGGCTGTTTTTCACTTTCCTACTGTAAATGAAATAATGAAAAATGAAATGATGTTGATCAGGCATTACATTTGCAAGAAGGATGAAAAATAGCAAGTACATTCCTTATGCTTCAGTCGGGGATTGTAAGAAAACCATAACGCAGGGAGATGATAAACAAAGTTCTGTCATTTACCACTTGCTGCACCAGTGGGTTTTGAAATACAAGGCCTGGCTCACCAGAAGTTGGAATGAGGCCAGAAATTCACAGCTCCCAAGCTGGAAAAAAGCTATTGCTAATGATTTTCTGTCAACGCTGATTCGGACTGAATTTACAGTAGAGATTTAAATGTGAAAGAAATGGTACTTCACTCCAATATATTGGTTGTATTCACGTGGCCTTTCATTGAACCAGGAAGCACAAAGAATAAATACCTGTTGTTGCTAATAATTAAATGGCAACAACTCCCTCAGTGAAAACAGAAGTGATCTGCATATTTGGCTCTGAAGGAGGAAACTTAGACATGACTTCTTGGTCAATACACATGCTACTAGAGAGACTTTGTATAGCATTTGTAACCTCTCCCATAGTATATCACTGAGATTTGCTAATTGACACCTGAAATGCCTTAGAGATCACTGCTGTTAGACAAAATAAGAACAGAGACATTACCTACTCCTCTGTAAAATGGTATCTTCTCCCTTAAAGTAACATCTGCCAAAGTATACCCAATATTGGATTCAGTTTCAGAAAAGCTCTGGTTTTTCTTTGTATGTGCTGCATTTTTACAAATTGGTAGACACAGATATTGATTTTCCTCCTCATTCCAGAGTAAATATGCTTTTATATAAGACTGATATTTTTGCACGCAAAGTGACAAAACTAAACATGTTCTGTTCAGATGAGAGATGCACTTGGATAACAGTCTATTTCACTCTCAAAGCTTTGCTTAACAAAGTTTAAACATTTCTTTCAGCAAATCCCAAGGTGCAGCAAGTAACAGATAATGACAGCTGTTGACATTTTTGTGACTCTCTAGACTCACACAAACAAATGCACTCAAATTTAGGACCTAAGAACTCAGTCCTAGGCTATGACTTAGTAGCATGAATACAATGCAAATATCTGAACCAACTACACCAACTTCCACCAACTACATGTGCTACAAAGCACACCATACATACCCCAGCCCAAGAGGTAGTACCAGTGCAAGCGCTGCTCCTCTGCAAAGACAGCCACCACAATCAGCGTGTGCAGGTAAATGCCTTCACACAGCATCCAGAAGTAGTTGCAGCCCAGCATGTACTGGTGAAAGAACTGCAGCACTTTGCAGCTTACCTGCCAGGCAAATGAGATAATGTCACACACCTGACTAGCATTCTACATCTAAGCAGGCAAAGGTAAATTATAATTCTATGCTATGAGAAAGCAAAGTGAAACAGATGCCCAGATCTTGCTGGGTTTGTTTGGCACGTATCAGTGACAAGGATTTTAAACTTTATAAATGAAATGAATAAAACAAAAAGCCTTCATAAAAGAGTAAAAAATTGTATTATAACAGCACTCCAGAAAGTACTCTGCAAAAAAGTTCCCTTCAAAAACATTAGTCCCATGCTTTTTAGAACTGCACTTGTTTTTTAGAACAAGCAGCCTGTTCTAGAAGAAGGCTGTGAGAAAGACATAACTTAGAGCTCTAGTTTGGTGATTTCTTTCACTTTACTCAGAATTTTCAAAGACTTACTCAGCTCTTCTGTGAGTCAGTCACTCCTCTAAAAGCAACACCCAGTTCTTAACTCCCTCCTTTGAGAGCAAGTGCTTGCAGGCAGTGGAGATGAAAAGACAAGGAGATAAGTGAGGCTGTGAAGCTGGACAGTGGTTCTTGCCTGCAGCTCGGATGGGAAACTGAGACTTCAAGCTGCGTGGTGAGCAGATGGTGGAGAGAAACACATTGTGTCCATTCACCAGGTGGTGTGGGAGGAGACCACCCCTCCTTTGAGAGGCTCTGATGTCCATCCGCTTCCACCATGTCCCAGTACCCAGGAGGCCTATGGAGCAGGTGGGTGATGCAGGGATCTCTTCAGGGAGCACCAGTGGCTGCATGGATATCTGAGGTGCCCTCCATGATGGCAAAATGCCAGTTGCCACCTTATCCACAAGAAAATACTCCTTCCCCTTCACTTCTCCAGATGGTTTCCAAGCTAAATTACCTGGACTAGAGGCAGTGTTTTTGCTAGGACTGACTTGTCAACCATTCAGCAGAGGACTGTGTGCCCCGTGTCAGTCTGGAGGACTCACAGTACCCCTCTGGGACAGAAAAGCAGGTTCAGTAGTGATTCTGTTGAACAGAGCAATTCACAGAACATGGGCATTTAGCTCTGTTTCAATGTTTGCAATGCAGCTTGTTGCTCTGAAAATAGAAGATCATTGACAGTGCAGCTAAAAGAATTCAGATAGGATGAATATGAAGGACTGTTGTTTTTGTTTTTGTTTTTTCATTTCATTTCTTCTGCTTGCCACACAGAGCAAAGCAGTCACATAGTTTTTCCACACTGTCTGAACAGTTCCTACAAAATATGCTGAGAAAGGATAAAAAAAAAAAAAAAGAAAAAAGAAAAGAAGAAGGATTTGCTGTTTTCAGTGAACTTTTTGAGTGAGGGAGTAACTAACTACATGAACAAAGCCAGCCCTTCTGCAACTTTTATCTGTAGCTCAATACTTGAAATACAGAAAGCATACTGCCTGAAGACGAACCATCTTTGTTTCCTGAAGAACAATACACCTAAACTTAATTTGCTTCATTTCCTCAGTATTTCCTTCTTTCCTGTGCCCTCCACATGAACTGTCACTCGTGGCTTTAAAAATGAAATTAAGCACCTATGTTTTAGAGTAATGGCTATGCAGACAGCTCATGACTCTTTTGAGTAATGTAATCACTTGCTATGCAGTAAGTTATAGACTGCCATTGGCAAGACATGAAGGATGCGTGTGATTAGTACTTGGATCCACATCACATTAATTTAAGAACTAATCTGAAAAAGTTACCGTGAACAGTTTAAGCACAACAATGCACTGCAAAGAATTATGCTGAATTGCTATCAATCAAACTACAGTGAAAATCAATCTTCACTTTGGATGAGCTAAAAAAATTGCAGCAGGCTTCAGCTGTGGTTGAGTGCTGCCATGGAAATAAAGTGAGTGTTTTTCTTAGATCAGAGCAACCTGTTGCTGATGAGAACTGGAGTCATGTGCGGTGTGAATAAAACATGGCAAATGTAGCCACACATCTCAGATTACGTTAGCCTTAGCTGGGAAAACTGCAGGACTCTGAAGTTTTGTGAAGAGCTTATTCTTATAGAAACAAGTAAAATGAAATTGCAAGATAATACAGGAGCAAATCTTTGAGCACTTCCATGCTTGATAACTTGGAGATTTAAAAAAAAAAAAGGTTAGATGTTTTGTCTTCAGTTGAAGTTAAATACATTTTGATGCAAGCTCTTTCTGTCATTGTATCTCATACAATATGCAGTATGGTCAAATCCAGGATTCAAAGGATTATCACAGCACTAATACTGCTGCTACGAGCACTAGAACTCATGATGGAGAGTAAAATGTCATCAGCTCTTGGTCTGTGGGTGTGCACTTAAGCTGCAGGGGAAAAAAGGAGCCAAATAATAGAACATGGTCAGGCAAGAACAGCTCCTACCTAGCAAATCTTGCAAAGAGTTTTGTAAATCATGTAAACACCTCAGCTGCTGTATGAAATGAAAAGTTTCAAAAGGATGCTGGAATCACTTTGTGGAGAAGAAAGAAAACAATCAATCTCCTTTCAGGAGCAGGCCTTTGTGATTTTTTTCAGGATTTATTGGTGCACTATAAATACTGCTAACATTCCAGGCCTATTAGGAGGGTCCCAAAGTTCCACCTGTCTATGCAGGATTGTGCAATTGCATGGCCATGCTGCTGGCATGCTGCTCTCCTTGGCTAGGGCACAGCCCCTCCTCACAGGTCGCAGACTCATGCAGTGTCTCGAGTTGGAAGGGATCCATTAGAATCACTGAGTCCAACTCCTGGCTCCACACAGGACCACCCAAAAATCAGAGCATATGACTGAGAGCACTGTCCAAATGCTTATTGAACTGTGGCAGCCTGGGGCCATGACTACTGCCCTGGAGAGCCTGTTCCAGTGCTTGACCACCCATTGGTGCAGAACCTTTTCCCAATCCCCAGCCTGATCTTCCCTTCTTTTCCCTTTTATTTTGTCTTTCTTTTATTGTGGCACCAAAACTGTACACAGTACTCAAGGTCCTTACATGCCACTTCCCTGCTAAACTCTCCCTTATTGTCTGGCAGGGAGAAAGCATCAGCAATAATGCAGAATTAAATAAAAACCAGAATACTGCCTTCATCAAAGTAACAAAACATAACATCCACTCCTAATTGATTTTGAGCAGGTCTTTCTACTAATTCAGTCAGAATAAGCCTAGGTTTTAGCAGAGGGAGGGCAACTCGCCCAGATCCCTGTGTCTGTGTTCCCATGATGCTTCCGTGACTGAAGGGCCACAGGCTGGAACTGGAAGCCCTGGTTTTCACAGCCTACCCTGCCAGCTCCACAGCGCCTGGCCCATCACCACTGGGGCAGGATGCCTGGCAGTGTGCAAAGTGAAACCTCTCCTCAATTGTTCTCCATGCACTGAAGTGCCCCAGGCTGACATTTGCAAGAAATAAATAGCTAAGAATAGGCCAAACAAGGTTATTAGTTTTTGGCCAAGCCACCTACATGGGACATTATTATAGCTGTACATTTCTCTGTTTAAAGGGAAATAAGAGTGTTTGCCCTCACTGAAGATCAGACAGAGTGGGCTCTCTTCACGTCTGCAGAACCCCCCTGTGCACACAGCTCTTCTCAAGAAGAGGTTGTGCTGCTCCCCACAAAGACCAGACAGGATTTATTCCAACTCAGTTTGAAGGCAATAAAATGCATTCTCAGACATTCTTAGCATGTTTAAGGAGTAACTTGAAGTTTGGTTATTGACCTGCCTTATGCGTTTTTTTTCTGGTTATTAGAATGCTTTTCTATGAAAATATTCTTAAATTCCCAGTATCCATATGTTACACAAATAAGCAATAAAAGGACTTTCCAGAGCAGGACAGTGCTAAGCATTGTAGCTGTAAATCATGGACTATCAGAACGTCATACCATTATACAATATATCTACTGTGAGTCACCCATTAAACTGTGTTCCAGTCAGAAAGCTGGCATGCAGGGACTCAGGCTAAGATTAATGTTTTAATATACTTTTAAACCATTTGCAGAACAAAATGTACACAGTTGCTTAGAGGGTTCCTAGGTTTTGTGTTACGAGAATGCAAAATATGAAATTAAGCATCGAGGGATATTTTTAACAACATCCCTACCCATGCCTACACTGTGAGAAGAAGCCAGCCTGGAATTAGGCATCATGGGCAGTGATTTACACAGCCACATCCATACACCCCAACCTCCCAGCTGCAGTCACTGTCCTGGGGCTGCAGCCTAGAACCCAGCAGGATAGGGCTGGAGTCCTACGAGGTCCATGTGGTGAACCCAGCATTGCAGTAAGCAGGGAGCAAGGCAGGGCAAGGTACAATTTCCCTGTGCTTAACTGGTTTCATCAGCTGAGGCAAATCTCTAGTGGATCCACATACCTTGCACACACAGCCAGCAAGTGCTTTGCTATGACAATCTCCTGTGAAAGCCCTAATGGCTTCTTGTGGTCACTGTGGCCAGGTAGGAGGACTTCTGGGTTAGATGGTATCAGCAAGATGTATTACAGAACAGCAAGATTTCCCATCTGGATGCTCTCTGGTGCCATGAGCTTAAGGAGCTGCTAAACACACTGTATATTAAGAAGGATGTCCTAGGAAACAAAATCAGGAAATCTGAAGAAGGTGTTAAATGGGACTGGAGATGCAGAGGTTTTTTTGATTTTGGTATCAGCTGTTCTGGGTGCTCACTTCTCACTGCCACAGTGGCAGGACCTGCAGGGTCCACAGACAGTGGAGGTATGTAAAAATGTAGAAGCATGACAGACTTTTCACAAGGACAGCTGAATCTGCAGTTTGGTCTCCATCCATGCTGAGACTGTAGGTCTTCCTGGCCTTTCTTGCAGAAAAGATGCAAGCCTCAAACCTAAGAACAAACCCTAGGGTCTGAGGCCTTCAGCGGCAGGACCATGATGCATTTTGCAGTACAAGATCCTTTCTGAGGGAAACAACACTCCCTCCCAAATAAGAGGCCACATGTTGGGAAAACACTGCAGAAATAATATCTGAAGAATCTATGGAGCCTGGGTTGTTTT